TTGCCCGGCGGACTGTAGTTGCCCACAATGTACAGCTTATTGCTGGAGGAGTTCTTCGCACAGCCGACGCCCACTTTGGCGCTTCCCTTCCACACCACCTGCGTAAAGTGGCCCCACTTGGCGAAGGTGCCCATATCCGGTTCGTGGCCATAGTAGTCCTTCCGGTAGTCCTTGATCTCGTCGTACCACGACTGTACGGGCACGCTGCCGTCCGGCAGTGGGGCGTTCTTATTCGACGACCAGCTCATGTACAGGTTCTCGCCGTACTTGTTTGGCTGGCGGTGCTTGAAGGTGTCTAAATGATAAAAAAATTAAGTACAAATTTCAAAATAGAGTTAAATTAAAAAGTTTACCTGTCTTCGCCAGCTCATCCGCCCACTGCTGTGCCCAGTTGTTAATTTCATTGTCGAGGGCCAGCGCCGGTGAGCCGTGCTTCGCTCGCAGCTGATTGTGTCGCTGAAGGAAGGCCTTCTTGAAGGTCTCATCACAGCCAGCCTGAACCTGGGAAACGCCCACCAAGGCGGCCAGAAAAGTGGTCAGCAGGAAAAACTTCATGATTTCTGAGTTGGTTTTTTGAGTTTGATGAGTTTGCAAAAAAGATGTTTTTTCCGCAGTTGATAATTCTTCAGCTCAAAGCCAGTCGCCTTTTATAGCCGGATTTGGTGGCAGAAAAAGGTCGACGACAATTATCAAATTGGACTATTTGTTGTTAGTTATCATGCTGGCATAACATCATCAGCACAGGTGGTAATGGTGAAAATTACAAAAGAAATAGTCAAATACCTGGCAACCACATGTTCATTTCTTCTATTGCATATCAAAGCAAAGCAAAGCAAAACACAGGTGCGTCACACAGGTGGAATGAATGAATGACTGAAATGTGTGCCGGTGTTTCCGACGTTTAGAAAAAAAAAGAAAGAAAAGAAGCCGATGTCCTCTCCTTTGCCTCCTTCACCTTCAAAATGCTAAAATGATAATCATTATCTGCCCTCACCAGCCATCAGAAAAAAAGTTGTCAATCATCTGCAAAAGCAGCAGCAGCAGCAGCAGTACTAAAACTAAACCTCTAAACCTGTGCTAAAGCTGTGCTTTTCAAGTGCAAATGCAAAAAATGATTAAAATTTATTACTCGACAAAAAAGACTGCAGAAAAAAATCTCAACTCGAAAAATCCTGTCAAAGCTTTGACTTCAAGCAAAAGGAAAAGCTTTCCATTCCAGTCCCTACCCTGAAGGCGGAAAGACGTTATTGGCAAAGTCGCCCATCATATTGCCCGGTGGATCGAAGTTGCCCACCACAAACTGGTACAGTCCATCAGCCGACCGGCCACAGCCGACGCCCACCGCCCGGCTGCCCTTCCACACCAGCTGCGTAAAGTGGCCCCAGTTGAGGAAGCTGCTAAAATCGGGCTCCCGCCCGTAGGCGGTGTAGCGGCCCACCTCGCCGTACCACATGTCCACGGCGAATTCGGCGCTCATCTCTCTGCCGCCGATCATCTCGGCGATATTCTCCCCGTACTTGTTCGGCTGGCGGTGGTACATGTGACCTAGAAAAAAACAAAAAAAAATGAGAAAAAAGCTTTAAAAAATTGTTTCGACTATTTTTACCCTCTCGGCCCAGTCGATCAGCCCACTCCTGTGCCCAGCCGGAAATGGAACGGTCCAGCGTCAGCGGACCGACGCCGTGTTTGGCCCGGTAAAAGTTGACCCGCTCCACGAAGGCTCGCTGGAACTCCTCGGTGCACTGCTGACTGGAGAAGTCCACAAAAAAAGCTAGAAAAAGGAAAAAGTAAAAAGTCTTCATGTTTTCAGGTTGTTTGTTCTTGCTGTTTGCTGTTTGATAGCTTTTAAATTCGCTGAAAAACCTCGTTTTTATATACCCAAAAATCACTGGTCGTCGTAACCTCTTACCCTTTTACCCATCACAAAAAAAGTGGTTTTCTTACACAATCAGATAACGATTTTTTGGCTGAAAGTTATCCAACATTGCCTAATTCTGTAAATTCCTTTTGGTACCTTTCGACATCTTTGCTAATTAAAAGTGGTGGTGGTAGTGGAAGTAGTGGTAGCGGTAGTTTTTTAATTAAAATCTTAATTAAAGTGATGTAACTTTGAAAACAAAAATTAAAGGAAAAACCGTTTGACATTTGACAGTGAATTTTTATTTATTTCCCATTTTGTCTTTTCGAAAAGACGAAAGACAACGGGAAACAAACAAATTTTCATTTCTGCATATTAAGTAGCCTTTCTCTTTCGTTAAGTTTGCAGCGTCAGCATTAGTGGACAGCTTTTACCGTACATTGAGCTTCAGTGGCTGCTGCTGCTGTACAATTTTCT